GGCGATGCGTATGCATACGTTTGTTGTCTGCCATCTTCGATTGCCATCTGCCATCCAGCGCACGATGATGTCAATGTATTTCTGGGGTGGTTGGTTTGGCGCCGCGGAGTTTTCGCTCAAGAGCCCCCAGAGTGGGGCTCCAGAGAGGTTTATTTCTGGGCAACCTACCGCCGTTGATCTGAATGGAAAGTTGGTGCCGTACGTTATGCTTTCGTTCGTGTGAGTTGGGGGGAGGGGGCGGGAAGAGAGCTGTACAATCTTCCATTTTGGCCAGATTGTTAGATATAGATGGGCCCCGAGTCAGAGTATAACACATAGTGCTTGCCTGATTGTGCCCCCCCCAGCCAGCCCGCAAAATCTGCAAACTCCAAGACTCCAGACTGGGAAGGGGTTGAGGACCGTCTGGGAACACTCGGCTACCCCGCCCGCTGTGTTGGAATCCACAGAATCACGACTTCGGGAGTCGGAAGAGCGTTGTTCTGTGCCCGGGCGATAATTGGCGTTAGCGGGGGGGTGGGAGGAGGGAGTGGGGTGCCGGTAGCGTAACGTTTGGCGCCGGCGCCGTCTGGGATTGTCTACAGAGGCTACAGATGCCCAGGGGATGCGTTTAGGAGCTCGTCCCCCCTCGTCCCCCCCCCCGCCCCCCCCTCACACGCCTTTTCACCCCCGGCAGGCGGGGGTCGGCGGATTACCATGCAGCCCCAGGGGTGTTCAACGCGTGGCCAAGTGTAGTAGAGCGCAGCAGAGTAGACCCGAGCAGAGAGAGAAGAACAGAGTCGGAGGTTGGGGGGTGAGATCGCAGTGAAACGGAGACCCCCCACCGGGAAATCGGATTCGGTTTCGTGTTCGTGTCGTGCGTGCGAGCGAGGCGAAGCTGCGCGTGATCCTCCTGTAGCTAGGCCGAAGTAGGAGCGAAAGTCCGTCGCCCAGCAGCCGGTGGCCGGCTGGGCCGGGCGGTGTCCCAAGTGTCCCGGGTGTCCCGGGAGTGCTTTCCCGTCCGCCGGTGGCCGGTTGGGCCGGGTGGTGTCCCGGGTGTCCCGGGTGTCCCGGGTGTCCCAGGCGTCCCAGTATCGATATTGAGATCGATGTGGTGCCCCGAGGTGTCCCGTGGTGTCACGTGGTGTCCCAAAAAGTGAGATCGATAGTGGGATCGATAGTTAGTGAGATTGACAGGTGTCCCGCCGTGTCCCGTGGTGTCCCGTGGTGTCCCGTTGAGTGAGATCGAGAGTGAGATCGATGGTTAGATCGACAGGTGTTCTTTGGTGCCCCGTGGTGTCCTGAGGTGTCCCATTGAGTGAGATCGATAGTGAGATCGATAGTGAGACCGATGGTGAGATCGAGAGGTGTCCCGCGGTGTCCCGTGGTGGCCCGTGGTGGCCCGTGGTGCCCCGTTGAGTGAGACCGATAGTGAGATCGACAGTGAGATCGACAGGTGTCCCGTGGTGTCCCGTTGAGTGAGATCGATAATTAGTGAGATCGATACTGAGATCGATGTGGTGCACCGAGGTGTTCCTCGGTGTCCCGTGGTGTTCCGTTGGGTGAGATCGATAGTGAGATCGATAGTGAGATCGAGAGGTGTCCCGCGGTGTCCCGTGGTGCCCCGTGGTGTCCCGTGGTGTCCCGTTGAGTGAGATCGATAGTGAGGTCGACAAGTGTCCCGTGGTGTCCCGTGGTGTCCCGTTGAGTGAGATCGATAGTGAGATCGATTGAGTCAGATGTTGGTCCCCCCCTTCTCCCCCCACACAACCTCCTTATCACCCGAAGGGCGGTCGTATAGGTAGAACATTTGAGATAGCGGAGCGCGGTTAGACCTACCCATCGCCCGATCATTCACATGTATTCCTTCATAGCCGTTCGCATCATAAAGCACCTCCTTCATACGAGAGGCAGTGGAATGCGTGATCGATGGGCACTGGATCTAACGGGCGGGTCGGGCGTGCGGGGACCCTAACGGGCGGGTCGGGTCGGATTGGGCGCGCGGCAGTCTTCGGCTAGTATCGGCTTCCTGAGGAGTCCGTTGGAGCTACCTTGAGGACATGTTGGTGCCCTCTTAGGCTATCTTGAGGCTTTCTTGGGCTGTTCTGGGCCCCTCCTGGACCGTCCTGGGGCCATCTTGGGGCTCCCCTGGGCCGTTTAGGGGGCTTCTGGAGCCCATGGTTGGACTCTTGTGGCCTCTCTTTGGCCCCCTCCGAGGCCCTCTTGAGACCATCTGGAGCGGAGAGGCCCATGAAACGCAACATTTCCGAACACCGATTGCTTTCTCACAGCTTTCTCATCCCGCGCGCCTTCCCGTCGGGCCTCCCGGCCTTCGCTCCGACGTCTTGGGTGCCTTTTTGGGCCCCTACCTGGCGCCTTGTGGGGTCTTCCTGAAAGCTGTCGGGTCTAGTGGTGGCAAGGTTGGGCCATGTTGGCGGCCTTGGTGACGAGGAGGAGGAGGAGGAGGAGGAGGAGGAGGAGGAGGAGGAGGAGGAGGAGGAGGATATTATGGGGCCGTCGTGGAGGCCGTGGGCAGCATTCCAAGAACCCAGGGAAGCGCTGGGCCGCCGAGGAAGAGCTTCGGTAGAGAGCGGGGGGTACAGTGGATGTCCACGCCAGGAAGCACCCTGCTTGCCTCCAGGGTGCCCTGGGCTTCTTGGATTTCGATGGTTTTGCGATGGGAGGCGTGACGTTCCCACACCGAAAATTGATGGACGTTCTGGGGTCTCAGGGTTGGTTTTATAGTGGAAGGTTTCTTGTGGACTGGCCTCCACTGTATGCACACAGAGCTGCACGACGAGAAGAGATGATTCCGTAGAGGATCTGCAGAAGCCCCACTAGACAGCCCTTGGCAGTCTACTTCGCCTCAACGTGCCAGGAGGTACGATGGCGGATTTACAGTTCAAAGTGCCCTGGGCCAGGTTGGGCCTGGCCCAGCCTGGAGGAGCGAGTCGCTCTTATGACATACAAGTGTTCGAAAAGGAGAGGTCTAGAGAGCAGTTCATGCTTTTGTGGTGCGTGATCCTACCCGGCCGCCCGCCCAATCATAGCATGCTCCTCCTTCGTAGCCTTTGCATCATGATGCCCCTTCTTCAGACTAGCGCCCGTGACAGAAGTGAGCGGTGGGAACGTTGAGCGGATCTCAATTAGTCCCCCCCCCCGCCTTTGACAAGCCCCTCGAGATCATCCAGTAGTTGGGCAACGCCCACTCCCAAACCCGCACCCTGGACGAGCCTTTCCCAGGCAGCCCTGGATTTTTTGTATATTTCGAGGACAAATCGTTTCTATGCTGTCAAGCGCGACATTCACTATTCGTCCGAATAGATGGTATTGAGACGTGAACGAGCGTGTGGCACGCGTGACGCGGGGTATAGTATGGTCTCCATATGTGACCAACACGTATCATCCGTATCGTTGGTATTTCAGACTGCGGCCGGTTTGGATGGGGAGTCGCACCAAGTCGCATCACTTCTCATGTCGGGTTTACGTTAGGTCCAGAGCACATATGAAAAAGCGCCATTGAACTTGCCCGTGCCGAATCTGGGTTGGGCCGATTGGTTGGAGAGAGTACTTGGCATGAGCTATAAGTGATTAAGCCTACTCAGAGTTTCTGAATAAGCGTCGGGGGGGCGTCACCCCTGCCGACAGCCCCACATCGCCCCCCGTCGCGGGCAGCCACCGCGCGCCGAAGGCGCTCCGATCCCCCGTCGCGGCGCGACGACCAGGCGAGGTTGACCCCCGTCGGGGGGGTACCCCCCACGCTTATTAAGAAACCCAGGGTAACCAGTTTCGAATCGCGATGGTACCCATCTGCCCAGCCAATCATGAATACATGATCCTGCCTTATGAACCCGCCGTGACCTACAGGACAGGCCCCTTCTTAAATAGTGTTTTGAGTGTTTTTGGCTATTCTCCGATAATGCATTTTCAGAGTCTCGGCGGAGTCGTGTTGACAGTACAGTTGGGGAGTTCGTTTGCCACAGGTAGTGGCGGGCGGAATGCTGTATGTTATCTGCTTTCTCCACTACTACTAACACGACTAACAGCACGACTAACCACACTACTGCTTTGGTTTTTCGCGAATCGAGGGTCTGTAGCACGTGGGCTGCTTCATAAGTCCTGCGTAGCCCCTCGTGTCATGAGCTCCCCCTTCGTGCCAGAGGGCCACGCCGCCGTGAGCCGAAAGCCCCTCCCTGCGAAGCTCAGCCTGCCCACCTCGACGAGTGCGCACGCCGGGGCCTGCTTCCAAGCGCATGTCTTGTGCGAGCCCCTCCTTCGTTGGTTGAAAGGATTTCGGAGGCGCGAGCGCGCGCGGGGCCGCGTGGTGTTTTCTATATAGCCCGCGTGGTGTTTTCTATATATATATATAGAGAGAGAGAGAGAGAGAGAGAGGCTCTTGCACGAGGTAACTGTTAGATCAACGAATGTCCACGGCAGAGTTCCATCTGTGACGGAAATCAGTGGGGACGGGGGTTGCGAGCCCAATTGTGTGATTTCCCATGCAGGGTGCCCGATGGGCCCAGAAGCCATGTGAAAATGTATTGGGCAATGCCTGGGTTGGATCTGACAATGACGGTTTGGGCTCAGAAGCTTGCTCCCCATCAGGGCAGGGTAGTTGTCATCAATGAGTAAAATTAGAACAGAGCACAGCGTAGCCGTCTCAGCCATCGTGCGCCACTCTTTGCATCACCAACCGACCGTAATTCGCCCTCCCCGTGGCCAGTCAGTTGTCCATGTCTTGATCCTACCTTCATTCTATCTGCAGCTCGCCCGGCGTCGCACTATCAGCTCACAGTCATGTCTTCCTCGCTTCGCTTATCAGGGGTTGCCGCTCTTTATCCTCGAGCTGGGCTTGGGCCAGATATTTCGCACTGGAACGCTGGGCGTTTGGGAGAAGCTCGGTCGGCCTCCCTTTCAAAGAAGAAGAACGGAAGAGGGAGGATGAGGTTATCCTTCCATTCCGTCCTTACGTTCTTTTGGTTTGCGGCGTCTGGCCTTGCGGATTGATGGCTTCCCTGCCGAAATGAGGATGTGAAGGATGCATGTGGGTCGAGGAGGAGGGCGGTGGGCGCTGCTGCCCAACTACAGTCAGACATGGTCCGTAGCCATTTTGGCTCAAGCGTCGGCAGAGGAAGTGCGCCTTTTGCCTCCACCCCCCGCGCGCCCGCATGGAGCGCGGCCCGGCCGCTCCGCCTGCGGAGTGCGCCGCCCCAGCCAGCCTGGAGGGCGCGGGGGCCGCGCCGCTGGAGCGGCAAGGCGAGGCACTGGTCGGCCTGGACGAGGTGCGGCGGGCGCTGCGCGAGGAGTTGCTGGCCGCGCTCGGCCAGATCCGCCTGCTCGTGCGCGAGCAGGCGAGACGCGGACGGGGAGGCGCCGGCGGTGATCCCGCGGCCGTCCCCGAGGGGGCCGCCGCGGGCGCGGGCGCGCCGGGCGCTGCCGGGGCGGCCGCCGGAGCGGAGCCGCCAGCGCTGCAGGCCGCGCTGCGGGAGGTGATCGCCGCCGGGCTCGTGGGCGTCCGGCAGGCCGTCGCGGAGGAGCTGGGCGCCGAGGACTGCGCGGACGCGGAGCCGCGCTGCCCCCAGGGCCACCCGCTGCGGGCGGCCCGGGCGCCCAACGACACCTACGTCTGCGACAGGTGCAAGGCTGCGGTGCCGAAGGGCACGGTGCTGTGGGGCTGCCGCCGCTGCAACTACGACGAGTGCCAGGCATGTTGCGGGCGGGAGTCGGACTTCCCGCCTGCGGACAAGGCGTCCGAGGCCGGCGGCGACACCGAGAGCCGCAGCTCCTCGAGCGGCGACTCTTGGGGCGACGCCGACGACGACGAGCTGCCGGCCGAGTCGAAGCGGAAGCTCATCATCTGCGTCCGCGGCGACATCGGGATGAGCATCGGCAAGACGGCCGCGCAGGTGGGCCATGCGGTGCACAGCGCCGTGCGCCACTCGGCTTGGAGGGACCTGCAGGCCTGGGAGGCCTGCGGCTCCAAGAAGGTGACGCTCAGAGTCGACTCGCAGGAGCAGCTCTTGGAGATCAGGCGCGCGGCCCGCGGCGCGGGCCTGATCGCCGAGAGCATCCGCGACGCCGGGCACACCGAGCTGGAGCCGGGCACCATGACAGTGCTGGCGGTCGGCCCGGCGCAAGACGCGCAGATCGACGCGCTGACGGGGCACCTGCGGCCGCTGCCCGACGCGCTGCGGCGCGAGAACGAGAAGGTGAGGGCTCAGGCCACGAAGTTGCAGACGGAGCTAGATTCCGTCAGGAAGGAAAAGAAGATCATGCGACAGGACAAGCTGCGGTTATTAGCGCTATTGAGCGTCAAGGACCGCTACGTCTGACGCAGGGTGCGGAAAAAAAAACTACAGTCAGACATGGAGTGCCACTGCTAGAATATTCGAAGTTCCGTCACTTCCGAATATCAGGTGACATGTTGGCGAAGGGAAGTTAGCGGAGTTGTTAGAAAGGCGGTGGGTTGGGTGCAGCCAATGCCAGTTGAAGTGGGTGGAGTTGGCGGTCCCGGTCCCGCGAGGATAGGGTATTCTCAGCATGAAATGCCGACGGGGTTCACTGATGGTGAAGGGTCTATTACTTTGACATGCTTATCTCTTCGGCCAATGCCTTGAACTTGCTGCCCGCAGAGTTCTTGGCCCGACGCCAATGCAGACTCCCACCATGGCCGTTCAGGTCTTGCACCCTTGCAGTGGGAGCCCATGCCAGGAAACACCCTGTTTACCTCCAGGGTGCCCTGGGTTTATTGGGTTTCGATGGTTTTGCGAAGGAAAAGCGTGACGCCCCCACGCCGAAAACGAATGGACGTCCTGGGGTCTCAGGGTTGGGTTTCTTGTGGAAGCTTTCTTGTGGTCGAGCTCCTACTGTACCGTACATGGACATTATATTCGAACCTTGTGGCCCCCCAGACCCCCCGAAATTCATATTGATGGCGTGGCGACGGGGGGGGCGTGAGTGGACAGAAATATTCGAACCCCAAAGCACCGCCTTTACTGAGATCAACATTGACGTCGGGGGCGCGGGGGTGATTTAGAATCTCCCTCGAATGTGTAAGGGTTCGGATATATTGTCCATCTCCCTCGAATGTGGAAGGGTTCTTGTGGTCGAGCTCCTGCTGTACCCTGCGTGCTTAGGTTGAGTTTCGGCCGCGCGGGCCGCCGGTCGGCGGACCCTCCCCCGGCCGCTCCCCGCCGATGGCGGCGGAGGGGATGCGCGAAAACCGCCCACGAGGGTGCACTCAGATAGTCTCTTCCTCCTCCCTCCTCCTCCCTCCTCCTCCTCCTCCCTCCCTCCTCCTCCTCCTCCTCCTCCTCCTCCTCCTCCTCCTCCTCCTCGTCCTCCTCGTCCTCCCTCCTCTTCCTCCTCCTCCTCCTCGTCCTCCTCCTCCTCCTTCTGCTGCTCGAACACTGTCCCCGCACTGGACCCCCCCTCCAGCTCCCCTCGAAAGGGGCGGAAGCACTGGCGGAAGGCCAGACCTCACCGCAGGACCGAGGCAGACGAGCGAGCGGAGTTGGCGTCGCCGGACAGGGCCAGCGCCCCTGCAGGGGAGGCAGGCGCGCCCGCACGCAGGCCCTTTGCCAGGGCCAAGGTGAGTGCGGCATCGCTCGGGTCAGCGCCACGGGTGCTGCAAAGAGAGAGAAGGCCAGGCCTCACCGCAGGACCGAGGCCAGGAGCCCCTCGCGGCCAGGAGAGGGGGAGCACGGCGGCGCTGGCGGAGCGCGCCGCGCGTCCACCTGCGGCGCACCCCGTTTCGGGGGCAGCGCATGGCATCTGGCGGGCAAGCGGCAAGCTGCACGCGCGACGGGGAGGAGCTCACCTGCCAGCTGAGTCAGCTGTGTGTGTGTATGAGGGCTCGGCCTTTCGACGCACGTGCGCGCCCGCTTCTTTAACCTTTCTACGCCCTGTCGCAGCGCGCCGGGCTGCGACGCCAAACAAATGTGTGTGTGTGTGTGTGTGTGTGTGTGTGTGTGTGTGTGTGTGTGTGTGTTTGTCTGTCTGTCTGTCTGTCTGTCTGTCTGTCTGTCTGTCTGTCTGTCTGTCTGTCTGTCTGTCTGTTTGTTTGTTTGTTTGTTTGTTTGTGTGTGTATGTAATCGTGTGCGTGTGCGTGCGTGCGTGCGTGCGTGCGTGCGTGCGTGCGTGTGTGTGTATGTGTGTGTGTGCGTGTGCGTGTGTGTGTGTGTGCGCGCGCGTGTGTTGTGTTGTGTGTTGTGTGTGTGTGTGGGTGTGCGTGTGCGTGTGCGTGTGCGTGTGCGTGTGTGTGTGCGTGTGCGTGTGCGTGTGCGTGTGCGTGTGTTGTGTGTGTGTGTGTGTGCCGCGACGCCTGGGGGGTTTTGGCCACGACCTCTGGTTGCTCTGCACGGCTCTCTCTCTCTCTCTCGAGCCCGAGGCCGCCAGCACCGCGCGTGAAGCGCTGCGCGCTCTGAGCGCGGCTCCCTCCTCAGAGTCTTCCTCCGCGGCCGCTCTCCTGCTCCCCCCCATGATCGAGGAAACGGAAGCCTTGAGCGAGGCGCGCGGATCAGCGACGGGCCCCGCCTCCGCACGACATCGACGCGCTCCCTCGCCAGGCGAGGCGGCACCGAGCTCATCTTTGAGGGGTGCACGCTGCCGTGGGGGCCCATGGCAAGAAACACCCTACGTTCTCAGGGGATTTCAGGGTTGTTCCTGCGGTGGGTTTCTTGTGGATCGGCCCCCGCTGTATACCCGACCCGTGTTGGCGTGTGCCCGACGTTGGTGCCGGCGCCGCCACATGGGGCCCAGCGCCGATCTGCGACATCCGCGCAGACCTCCGAAGGTTCATGCCCGCGCAAGAAGGAGCTACGACATGTCGGCGTCGTCGTCGCCGTCTTCGTCTTCGTCTTCGTCGTCGTCGTCTTCGTTGTTGTCGTCGTCGTTGTCGTCGTAATCCTCGTCTTCGTCGTCGTCGTCTTCGTCCTCGTCCTCGTTCGAAACGTCGTCGTAGCCATCTCTGTCGTCGTCGTTCCTGGAGCTCGTGCTGGTGCGCAGTCAGCTCTGCCGCGCCCCAGCCGTCGCTGCCCGGCGCCTTCGTCCCCTCACGCCTCGGGGTCAAGAGACGGGGGGGTCAATGTGCAAGCGGGGGTGGGCCAGAGCGCCGGATCTTGCAGGATCCTGCGGGGCCAGGGTGCACTGACCCGGGCTTGGGTGCAGGATCCTGCAGGACCTCGCCGGATCCTGCAAGGCCTGGCTGACCCGGGTCGGGATCGACCTGGGCCACTAGACCCCCGAACGCCGCCGTCGACCCCGCGAGACGCTGTGGCCCCCCACGGCGCGTGGTCCCTGGGGCTCCGCCCCGAACGCACAGCAGGTGCGCCTCGAGGGCAGCGGCGGGCGCCGGCGCGGCGAGCTCTTATGCGGCCTGCACCAGGCCCGCGCGGGTCACCAGAGCCCATTCCGCTCGATGTTTCCCTCCTCCTCCTCCTCCTCCTCCTCCTCCTCCTCCTCCTCGTCCTCCTCCTCCTCCTCCTCTTTCCCCCTTTGAGCCGGTCACCCCCTGTCTTCCTCCCTCACCCCGGTCCCAGAGATCCGGCGCTCCCGACAGAAATTTGAGCTGCGGGTTTGGGGCTGTGTTCGGCCTCTAGTGTTAAGTGGGCATTGTCCTTCTACAGGAGGAAAATTCAAAAATAGTCAAAAAATAGTATGGAGACAATTTTTCTAACATTTTGGACTATTTTTTAATATTTTTTGACTATTTTTCATTTTTCGTCCAAAATCCGCCTGTAGGGGGACATGCCCGACCTAACTCTAGTGGCCCGCGCTGGGCCTCAGGACCGTCCAAAGCCGACCTGGGACGAAACGGCGGCCCTGGAAGTGGTCCAGACCTCTGGGGCCGACGCATCGAAAAATGGGAGCGGCCAGATGGTTGGCTCTTCCTCTTCGTCCACGCCGTCGTCCCCCAGAGAACCTTTGTCGCCGCCCTCCCCGCGGTTGGCCTCCGTTGGGGCCTGATATACTTATGTCTGGCTGAGCCGCACGCAGGTCCACTCCAGCCGCTGCTCCTGTGCCGATGCCCTTCCGTTACGGGAGCGGCCCGTTCCCAGTCCCCCCCCTCCGTTCTGTCTTTCTTGTCGCTTCGGCCTCCTCCCCGTCGCGTGTCTCTCGCTGTGCCACCGTGCGTGTTCGCTTCCGTTCTCAGTTCAACGCTGTACGCGCTCGATGTTGCTCGCCCATCGCACGAGGGAGCCATCATGCACGTAGCTCCGTGTGGGCTCATCTCTGAGAAGCCCTGGCGCCAATGCCCCGCCGTCAAAACGGGGCACCTCCGCGAACAGGAGAGTAGACAAGGCTCTTGTCTGTTCGCACACCAATGTCCCGTGCTCGCCTCTTGTTCGGCCATGGTGTTGTGCAGTGTCTCAGGTCTTCCACGCCTGCAGGGCGTGGGGATTGCCGCGACTATGTGCACGTGGTTCGTGTCTCTCTACTACAACATCATCCTGACCTGGAATGGGGGAGGGGGCGCGGGAGGAAGAAGCGGTGGAGCGAGTGGCACCAAGGGTGATTCTGGCAGTGACCACTTGGAGACCACCCGAGGCAATGCGGCCGCTGCACGTGGGCTTTGCCCGGGAGGCCTCCTTGACCACCGCAGCGTCCCGTGTGCTCTCGAGGGCCCCGCGCGGCATCTCAGGCAGAGCGACTAAGGCATGAGTGCGGGCATTCTAGGCCTCGGGGCACTCCTCTGCATGTTCACGTCACGGTGGTGGATCTTTTTCTCCAAGGCTCGGCGGGGCCATGGGCTTTGAGTGGTTGTGCTTGGAGTTCTGGCTTAGTATGGAAAATTGTCCGACATGCTGCGCGGGTTTCTTATGCCAATCGCTTCTGAATCGCATGATTGACTTTTAGCCTGCCTACTCGGCCTCCACCAGGTTAGAAGGTTAGAACACATATGGCGTGCCGTGCCAGTCTTTCGGCTCCCTCTCGGAAGATCGGGGGAGGACCATCTACTACATCGGTCGTACCATCGTGTCCATCCCTTCGGGCGTGCTGCCTTGGACAGACCAGGTGGGAGGCGACTTCACTTGCCCGTCCACGACTTTCTACATTCACGCGAACGATCCCCCCGCCGCGCTGTCGCGATTCCGCCCTGCTCGTCCCGGCATTTGTGGATACCCTGAGGTCGCAGGCGGCCTCCGGGAAGGGAGGACTGCTAGTGGAGTGTTGCACGGCAGCATGCACGACGAGGAGAGATCTTGACCCCTCCCCCACCACTGACTCCTCCTTCCCCTCCCCCAGGCAGCTGCGGCAGAGGCACCTGGGCAACATCGCCCATTGGCGTCACCCCAACATACTAATACTGTGCGTTCGTCGCTCCCACAG